GCTGCATAATGACTAAGGAGGGTAGAAGAATTGATGTCTTTTGAGTTGTGGTGCTGGAGAAGAGTCTTGAACATACCATCTACCACCAAGAAAACAAATACATCTCTTATCTTGGAGAGAGTGAAACAAAGTTTCTCTTTGGAGGCTAGGATTTTTAAGATCTGTCTCACATACTTTGGGCATGTGGCCAGGAGCGACCAAACCTTGAAGAAGGGTATCATGATCAGAAGGATGGAGGGACAGTGCATGAGAAGAAGACCCCACATGAGATGGATTGATACAGTAAGTAGGGCAATGGGGTTAGGTGTATTGGATTCAGCGAGACAGGCTCTGGAAAGGGCAGGCTTCAGAGCTTTTTACATAGGGTAAATTTTACATAAGGTCACTATGAGTCACAGGTAACTTGGCACATTGTAACAGTGAGCTTGTCAAGGGGTGCTAGAGAAGAAGAATTCACGGAAAATTTCACTTGTTGCCTGTAAATAAACCAGGTAGTGAAACTTTAAAATGTTTGATGCTTCCGTTATCCAGGTTATATTGATGATGGTTGTTGTTGTGTACCTTCGAGTCAGAAATAACCCATAGCTGACCTTCCAACAGGTTTTCAGAGGCAGTTAATTGCATGGGATGAGACTGCTCATCATTTTACTCCAGAGTAGCTGGTAAATTTGAACCACATACCTTTGCATTGACATCTCAGTTACTTACTACTAAAGAATATACAGAGTTACTGCATTAAAAAGAATTGGTTGACCCAAAAACCTTAGGAAGTACTATATGAACAGCTGCCGGTGGTGATGAAGGAAGAAGTTCAAGCTGCGCTGAAGGCATTGGGAAAAGATAAGGTCCCAGGAATTGATGCAATACCAAATGATATGTTTCAACTAATGGAGGCAGCCCTGGACTTGCCCATTAGTCCATGCAGGAAATTTGAAGGACTCATATGTAAAATTTATACAATACTCCAGCACCTCAACAAGATAAACAACCCAGTCACAAAATGGGGATAGGATATGAACAGACATTTCACTAAAGAAGACATTCAGATGGAAAACAAACACATGAAGAAATGTTCACAATTCATAGCTATAAGAGAGATGTAATTCAAAACTAAGATTTCATCTCACTATAGATACAATAGAAAATTTTAACAGAACAGCAAACAACAACAAGTGTTGGTGAGATTGTAGAGAAATTGAAAACCTTATTCACTGTTGGTGGGAGTGTAAAATGGTGCATCCACTATGGAAGGCAATATGGCACTTTCCTAAAAACTTGGAAATAGAAATACCATTTGACCCAGCAATTCTACTACTGTGAATATCCCTTAAAGAGACCAAAACTGCAATCCAAACGCATATTTGCACCTCTGTGTTTATTGCTGCATTGGTGCATTGTTCACAATGGATAGAGAACCTGTGGTATATTGACACAATGGGATACTATGCAGTACTGAAAAAAACAAAGAACTTACAAAATACTATACAACATAGGTGACCCTGAAGGACATTTTTCTGAGTAAAAAATCTCAGTCACAAAAGGACAAATACTGCATAATGCCATAACGTCCTTATAAAACAGGACTGACAATGGGATTGAGGAAAACTAAGAAAAGGGAGGGTAAATAATGAACACTGCATTGGCATAGATGAGGAAAAGAACTGTTTAAAAGGAATATATGATTGGGCATTATTTGGATAACAGCAGTCCAGAATAAAAGGTGGACTGGTGTGGAGGGAAGGAGAAAATTATGCAACTGAGCCTGGGTGGGTGTCGGGAGGAAAATATGCAACAGTAACTTAATTGAAATCTAAGTTTTCTGTAAACTTTTGTTAAAATCACACACAAAAAAATTATTCAGTGTAAAAAAAAAGCAATACCCCAACTAAAAAAACAACAACTAACAAACCACCCACAATTTGAAGGACAGCTCCTTGGCTGACTAAATAGAAAAGATGCATTTTTGTCGCATTTCCAAAGATGATCTAACAGAGTGTGAAAATTATTGAATTATATCATTAATATCACATGCAAACCAAATACTACTAAAGAGCATCCAAAACCAGGTAGACCAGTACACAGAAAGAACTGTCATGCTGGGTTTAGAAGTACCTTTGGTATCATTGCTGATGTCCTATGGATCCTGGCTAGAAGTAAAGAATACCAGAAGAATGTCTAATTCTGTTTTATTGAGTATGCAAAGGCATTTGAATATGTAGATCATAAGAGATTGTGGGATTGAGAAGAATGGGAGTTCCAGAACACTTAACTGTGGACATGTGAAACTTATATCTAAATCAAGATTCTGTTGTCTGAACAGAGCAGTGGAACACTGAATGGTTTAAAATCATGAAAGTTGTTCATGATAATTTTAACGTTTCTCCATTCTTATTCAATCAGTATGCTGAACAAATTATTTAAAAAGCTGTACTTGATGAAGAAGAATGTGGGATCGAGATCAGAGGAAGACTTTTCAACATCCTGTGTCTCGCATATTACACAGCTTTGCTTCCTGAAAATGAAGAAGCCATGAAATGCTTGCTACAGAGATAAAATATGAACTGCATCTCAACATCAAGAAACAAAATTTCTCACCACTGGACCAATTAGTAACATCATAATAGTTGAAGAAAAGATTGAAGTTGTCCACAGTTTTATCTTACCTGGATCCACAGTCTTCATTCTTGGTACCAGCAGTCAGGAGAACAGGAAATGAATTACATTGAACACTATTCTGTCAGGGACCTCTCCAAGTAGCAAGGATACCAGTTTGGAGACTAAGCTGTGCCTGATCTTGGTCTTTTCAATTCTTGCTTCAGTCTTTCACAGCAAGAACTGAAAAGATCCACAACCAACACTCTTAACAGCAGCAGTCAGGAAATCAAAAGATGAACTGCATTGGGAAAAATCTGCTGTCATAGACATCTCCAGAATGCTGAAGAGCAACGATGTCAGTCTAATCCAGGCCATGGTCTTCTCAATTACTTATTATGCTTCAGTGAGTTGGACAATGGCTAAGGAAGACAGAAGAAGGATAGATGCCTTCGAGTTGTGGTGTCTTGGACTTTTCAGTTCTTGTTGTGAAAACTGGACATTGAATATGAATGACAGAATAGATGCCTTCCAGTTCTGGTGTTGAAGAAGAGTACTGAATATCCCATGGACTGCCAAAAGAACAAGCAAGTATTTCTTCAAGAAGGTATATCCAGAATGCTTCTTGGAAGCAAGAATGACAAAGCTTTGTCTCATATACTTTGGCATCTTCCTAGGAGAGGCTATTCCTTGGAGAGGAACAACATGCTTGGGAAGGTGGTCAGCTAAAGAGAGGAAGACCCTGGACAAGATGTATTGACACAGTGACTTCAGCTATGGACTCAGGTATTTTAGAGATGATAATGATGGTACAGGGTAGGAGAGTGTTCAGATGTGTTGTTCATAGGCTCACTGTGAATCATACTGGACTTGAAGACACCTAACAACAACAAGCCACCAGAGCTCCCTGATTGATGTGGATACTGGATAGGTTTTGAATTCTTGCTGCACTCTTCCTTGCTTACCTCGGTCCTTGGGACTTTGTGTTTTCATTGCTATGGTTAAAGTGAGAAGCTGTAGTATGCTTAAGCATTCTCTGAGGGGTGTATTTTGCTCACCTTTCAAACTATTTGTTGTTGTTGATTGCCTTTGAGTCTAGCACGACTAATAGCAACCCTATGAACAAAAAGCTGGAAGCCCCTCTACAACTATCGACATTTATCAAAGTTCATAGAGTTTCTGAAGCCAAGTTATTTAGGAAGTAGATGCCATTCCTGCTTCCAAATTTGTCATAGTATATTACCTTTTTTTATATGCTGTTGAGTCGCTTGTGATGTATAGCTCTGAACCTTCCCTGTCCAGAGCTACTCTCACTAACTGACACACCAATCCCCATCGCTCCAGTTATGATATCAATCCATCTCATCCTGGATCTCATTCACCCTTCTAGCATGATGTCCTTCTCCAAGGACCAATCTCTCCTGACTATGTGCCCAAATTAAGTGAGACAGAGCTTCAAAATCTTAGCCTGCAAGGAAATATTTGGCTTCAACCTCTCCAAAACAGACCCATTTTTCTTGGTATGTTCAAGACTCTTCTCCAGCACCACAACTCAAAGGCATCTATTCTTCTTCTGTCTTCCTTAGCCATTGTCCAACTCACTGAAGCATAATAAGTAATTGAGAAGACCATGTCCTGGATTAGACTGACATCGTAGCTCTTCAGCATTCTGGAGATGTCTATGACAGCAGATTTTCCCAATGCAGTTCATTTTTTTATTTCCTGACTGCTGTTGTTAAGAGTGTTAATTGTGGATCTAAGCAAACTGTAATTGTTAACAGCTTCAGTCTCTTCTTCATCTAATATGGTGCTGCCAGTTGGCCTAGTTGTGAGAATCTTTGACTTCTTGATGTTAAGCTTCAATTTATATTGAAAACTACAGTACTTGACCTTTTGGAGCAAGTTCTTCAAGTCCTCCTTAGTTTCAGCAAGCAAAGTTGTATCATCTGCATATCATACATTGTTAATGAGTCTTCCTCCAATCGTGTTGCCACTCTCCTCCTCATAAAGCCCTGCTTCCCGAATGATCTGTTCTGCATACAGATTGGAAAGTTATGGGGACAGGATGCATCCCTGGTGTCCATCCTTCCCAGTTTAGAACCATGCGGTGTTTCCTTGCTCTATTCTGAGGACTGCTTTTTGGTCCAAATATATGCTTTGTATAAGCACGATCAAGTGCTCCGATATTCCATTTTTCCTCAAGGTTCTTAAGTGTGAAAATTAGGTCACAACTCATGAAATTTAAACAACAGAACACCCTACCTTGATTGAGAATCTTCACTTTCCTATTGTTATGTTTCATTATGTAATGAAGTTACTATTTGGGGATTAGTATAGCAACTTGGGGACCTTTTTGTTTTCATTTTGAGAGAACTGACATATTTTATTATTTATTCTAGTTCCTCAGAATGGATTGGGGGGATGAATATCCCCATAATTCTTTTGACCTACATTGTTTGTTAAATTCATTTCCTGGAGACTTGGAGTTTCAGCAAATCTTCAGTGACATTGAGGAAAACATCCAACAAAATGCTATAAGGTAAATATTGCTAATTGTTTAAAGAAATTACTTTCACATTCCATTTACAGAAGTTTACCTAGACTTGTGTCAGTGTTCTTGCTGTCAGATAAGGGAGCTCTGGTAGTCTAGTCCATGGAATGTTTGCAAATGCTAGCCCACAGGCAGCTCCTCTCTGGTGATTTAAATTGACCAAAGGGTCCATGGGAGAAAGACAGACAGTGACCTTCCATGAAGTTTATAACTTCTGAATCCCAGTGGAGGAGGTCAGCAATGAGTTGGCTCCAACTCCATTGTATGGGTGAGTGAGTGCTCTTGTATAGTTTTAAATTTTTAACCATTCTATTTCCTGGAGGAGAAAATTATTTAGGTCCTCTCCCTTTAGAATTTAACTGCATTGTCTCCATCTGATTGTTGTTGTTAGGGTCCTTGAATAGCTGACTCTCCAGCAGCTATTTGAAGGCTGTAAATCACAAGGGAGGAGTTTGTCCATCTTTGTCCTATGGAGCAGCTGGTTCATACCACCTGCCTTTGGGTTGGCAGTAAAATCCCTGACCATTCGGCCACCAGATTTCCCAGTTCTGGGAAATCAACCTAGTAGTAAGTATGTTTGATCCATCATTGCAACTAGCACATTAATTCATCTTACTGGGTATTCCTTTTCTTGACTGACCTTCTTTTCAAAGCATGATGTTCTTCTCTATTGATTGGTTTCTCCCAATAACATCCCCAAACTAAGTGAGATAAAGTTTACCACTTTCATTCCTGAGGAGTACTCTGGCTATAATTTCTCCAAGAAGGCTTTATTTGTCCTTCTGTCACTCTGAAGTATATCCAGTATTTTTTAGCAAAACCATATTAAAATGCATGAATTATTTTATTTTCTGTTATTATTGGTCAGCTTTCTCATGTATGTAAGATGATTGAAAAGATCATGGTATATAGCTCAGGGAGACCTTAGTCCTCAAATTACAATTTTGCTTTTTAAGATTTTTAAAGATGTCCTTTGCAACATATTTGCCCAGTGAAATATGCTATTTGACGTTTTGCCTTCTGTTTCTTTGGACATGGGTCATGGATCCCAGAAAAGTTAATGTCAAGTTCAGCCTTGTCCCTATTTATTATGGTGCTGCTTATCTGTCCTGTTGTGAGGATTTCTGTTTTCTTCTTATTGAGGTTTGATGCATACTGAATGCTATAGGTTTTGATCTTTATGAGCGGATGCTCCAAATCTTGACTTTTACAAAGCAAAGTTGTGTCATTGGCATATGACAGGTTGTTGATGAGTCTTCCTTCAATTCTGTTGGTTCTTCTTCACATAGACCAAGTTCTTGGATTATTTACTGAGCAACAAAATTTAATAAATACGGAAAAAGGATACATACCTGACCTACACCTTTTCTGATTTTCAGCTGTTCAGAATTTCCTTATTCTGTCTGAATTTAGTCTATGTGCACGTTTCACAAGAGCTCAATGAAATTATTATTCAGGAATTACCATTCTTCCTGGCATTATTCTTAACTTATTATGATCTATATAGTTAAATGCCTGTGCATAATCAATAAACAGGTAAACATCTTTGTGGCATTCTCTGCTTTCAACAAGTCATTTGGCATTGTTGTTCTTTTTAGGTACTGTTGAATTGAGTGTGACCTGTAACAATACTGTGAACAAAAGGTTGGAACCCTGTCTTACTTATCCTGTGCTATTCTCACACTTCCTGACACATTAGGGCCCATTCCAGTAGACATCGTGTCAATCCACCTGGTCAGTAGTCTTCCTCTTCTTCACTGACCTCACCTTTCAGAGCATCATGTCCCTTTCCAAGGAATAGCCCCTTCTAGCAACATGCCCAGAGTATGTGAGACGATGTTTCATCATTTTTGCCTCCAAAGGGCTCTCTGGCAGCACCCTCTCCAAGACATATTTGTTGTTCTTTTGGCTCTCCATAGGGATGTTCAGTGCTCTTCACCAACACCACAGCTCAAAGGCATCAATTCTTCTGTAATACTTATTCATGGCCCAGCTTTCAAATGCATACCAAGTGATTGGAAAGACCATGGCCTGAATCAGACACACCTTCGTCCTCAAACTGACATCATTACTCCTCAATAATTTGGAGACATCCCTAATTGCACATTTTCCCAGTGCAATACATCTCCTGATTTCCTGACTGCTGGCACTAAGGGCGGATCCAAGTAAGATGAAGTTGATGAAAGTTTTAGTCTTTTCTCCATCCATCATTATACTGCCTTTTGGTCCTGTAGTAAGAATCTTTGTTTTCTTGACATCCATATGCAATCCCTATTGAAGACTATATTCTTTGATCCTCTGCAATAGGTACTTCAAGTCCTCCTCAATTTCAGCAAAGTTTTGTCATCTTTATAACACAGGTTATTGATAAATCTATCTGATCCTGATGCCACATTCCTCTCTATAGAATCCATCTTCTTGAATAATTTGCTCAACATACAGATTGAATAGGTATGGAGAAAGAATACAATTGGCATTAGCAATGACATTTCTCATTTCAGATCATCTTCTGACACTGACTTGACTTTGGTAGTTCAGTGTTTCAAGATTGCAGTAATTGTTTAACATTTTGCTTGTATATGATATTAATGTTGTTGTTTGGTAATTTCCTCACTCTATTGGATCAATTTTCTTTGGACTAAACACAAATAGGGATTCTTTTCAGTTTATTAGTCAAATAGCTGTCTTCTCAATTTCTTGGCTTAGACCAGTGAGCACTTCCAGTATTTCATTAATTTTATGAAACAGCTCCATAAATATTCATTACTTCAATTTCTGGAGTCTTGTTTTTTGCCAAAGCTTTCAGTGTATCTTGTATTTCTTCCTTCAGCATCATTGATACTTGATGATATACTAACTTCTGAAATAGTTGGACATTGACAAATTGTTTTTCTTCTCTTTTGTTAATACTTCCTATCTATATCCTTTTCCCCTAAAAACCTTCATTCTGTTTTTTAAACATACATTATCAAAACTAAAATATTAAATTACTTCTTCAGTCCATTAAATTTGAGAAATACTGAATGTGTTCTTACTTTTTAATTTTCTAATTCTAGAAAGTTCGCAAATTTTAACTTAATACTTTAACTTACATTGAAATCAACTGTTCACCAGTTTTACATCATTATTTCTACTACTTTTGCTACACTTTTCCCAAGAACTTGTTCATAGCATCTTCTGAAATCTATTTTGAGCTTTCATTTTCCTATATTTTTAATACTTGATTTAGTCATGTATAAAATGTTCTTATGTTTATTTATTTTTAGTTTTTATTTTGTTTTATTGAGACTATGTGCAATCCAATATGAAGCAGTTACCCATTTCTACATGTAAAATTCAGTAACATTGATTATAATCGTTGAGTTACACAACCATTTTTGTCCTTCTGAATTTCATTAACATAAAAGTTATGATTTTTAAGATTATTTAGAGAAAAGTATTGAATATACCATGGACTGCTAAAAGAACAAACCAGTTTGTCCTGGAGAGGGTGAAACCAGGCCACTCTATGGAGGCAAGGATTCTGAAGCTTCCTTTGATATACTCTGGACATTTTGCAAGGAAGGACCAGTCCTTAGAGAGAGACATCATATTTGGGAGGTTGGAGGGACAGCTCAGAAGAGGAAGACTCTTAATGAGATAGATTGATTCAGTGACTGTGATAAGGGTGAGTGGGTGTGTCCGAGACAGTGAGATGGGTACAGGATAGAGCAGCATTCAAGGTTGCTGTACATAGGGCCACTATGAGTTGCAGGCAACTTGATAGCACATAACAACAACATCTAATCTTTAAAGTTGATCTTGTCACTTTGGTCCCATATAGATAGTTCTTAGAAGTACATAATATAGCTTTTTTCACTAGTTCAACTAAACTTTTAAGGAGACTTAAGGGAATTTATTTTTTGGTTTGCATTTTAATGATGATCTCAGGTCAATATTCTCGGAAGTTCACATAGTCTTCTTGATTTCTGGATGTCTTAAATTCAGGAGAATTTTAAATTCTACCCCACATTTTCCCACTTTAAATCAAGAGTCTTCTGTAAAGTCTGATCAAAATATTCCCTAATAGTAGCCAGGGACCTCTTCTGCTATTATGGCAAAGGAATCATTTGTTCATGGAGGCAATTAGCCGCATGTTTTTTTCTCCTTGCATCTTCACTGTCCTTCTTGCTGTTCTTCCAGGTGAAAGAAATCATACCAATGGTCATACCTTGGGTAGTAGACTGATAGTAGACCTTCATTGGGTTTCTGAAGCTTCAATTTGTATGGGAGGGAAGGAACTATCTTTCCAATATAGTTACAGGTGAATTTGAACCACCATTGAGTTAGTAGTGCAACTCCCTATGAACCAGGACACCAGAGCTCTCTCTAAATTCCCTATTAGGCCAATTTACTTCGGTAGCACATTATCCTTAAATATTTTTTTTTTATCCTTAAAAATTTTTAAACTAAGGAACAAAATGGCATGAAGTTTTTGCTTGTAGATGAGTAGTTATGGAAGCTACTTTTTTGTTTATTTAGTTATTGTTATAAATATATCTATCACAAAATTGCTAGTTCAACTTCTTATAGGTATATAGTTTATTGACTTGAATGAGCAGGAAATACCAGATGAAGATTAAAAGAACATGAAGAGAAATTGTACCAAAAAAATTGCTTGATACACAACTGTTTCAAGAGTTACTAAATGATACAGAATGAATGGCAGAAGTCCAAAAAAGGAATTGGTGAAACTCAAAAAATTCAAAGATAGCTACATGTCCAATTGACTAGAAGAAACCCATATTTGTGCATTTACAAGTAAAGTTATATAACAGAATGTTGAAGAATCATATTATTAATATAAAAAACAGGAAAAACTTTCTTGAAGATGGAACAGTACATTGATAGGGATCTGCCAGATATTTATACTAGCATCAGAAGAGTCTGTGGGACAAGGGTTATCATTGTTGATGCCACTTCTTAACTGAAAGTAGAGAATACCAGAA